TAGGGAACACCTGCTAAAAATTACTATATCTACAACTCTTGATACATTAGCGTGGTGGTCAGTGGAATGAATGCTCCTTACACTTGTGGTCATTGGGAAGAATTACCCTCTTACAGATAGCTGAAAAGGTGTCAATGGTGTCATTGAGAACTTATCTGAGAGGCAGATATTGCTCAAGAAACCCCTAGCAACCTCTGGAGGAACCCTAGAGTTCCATGGTACCCTGGTTGAGAAACTCTGATCCAGCCTGTTAAATACAATGCATCCACAAAGTACTCACAGCGCTTAACTTTTGCCACATTTTATGTTACAGCCTTATTCCAAAATGGATTAAATTCATTTTTTTTCCTCAACGTTCTACAAACAATACCCTATAATGGCAATGTGAAAGAAGTTTGTTTTGAAATCTTTGCAATTTATTAAAAAAAAAAAACAAAACAAAAAACACATAAGTATACATAAGTATTCACAGCCTTTGCTCAATGCTTTGTTGAAGCCTCTTTAGCACCAATTACTGCCTCAAGTCGTTTTGAGTATGATGCTACAAGCTTGGCACACCTATTTTTGGGCAATTTTTCTCCCATTCTTCTTTGCAGTACCTCTCAAGCTCCATCAGGTGGGATGGGGAGTGTCGGTGTACAGCCATTTTCAGATCTCTCCAGAGATGTTCAATTGGGTTCAAGTCTGGGCTCTGGCTGGGCCACTCCAGGACATTCACAGAGATGGCCCAAAGCCACTCCTTTGTTAATTGGGCTGTGTGCTTAGGTTCGTTGTCCTGTTGAAAGATGAACCGTTGCCCCAGTCTAAGGTCCAGAACGTACTGGAACAGGTTTTCATCAAGGGTATCTCTGTACATTGCGGCATTCATCTTTCCTTCGATCCTGACTAGTCTCCCAGTTCCTGCCGCTGAAAAACATCCCCACAGCATGATGCTGCCACCACCATGCTTCACTGTAGGGATGGTATTGGTCAGGTGGTAAGCGGTGCCTGGTCTCCTCCAGACATGATGCTTGGCATTCAAGCCAAGCAGTTAAATCTTTGCTTCATTAAACCAGAGAGTTTTGTTTCTCATGGTCTGAGAGTCCCTCAGGTGTCTTTTGGCAAACTCCAGGCTGCTTTCAAAGTGTGACCATCGGGTGCTTGGTTACCTCCCTGGCTAAGACCCCTTCTCCATCGATTGCTCATTTTGGCCGGGCAGCCCACTCTAGGAAGATTGCTGGTGGTTCCAAACTTCTTCCAATTACGGATGATGGAGGCCACTGTGTTCATTGGGGCCTTCAATGCTGCAGAAATGTTTCTGTACCCTTCCCCAGATCTGTGCCTTGATAAAATCTTGTCTCAGAGGTCTACGGACAATTCCTTGGACTTCATGGCTTGGTTTGTGCTCTGACATGAACTGTTAACTGTGGGACTTTATATAAACGGGATTATGCCTTTCCTAATCATGTTCAATCAGCTGAATTTCCCATAAGTGGACTCCAATCAAGTTGTGGAAACATCTCAAGGATGATCAGTGGGAACAGGATGCACCAGAGCTCAAGTTTGAGTGTCATGACAAAGGCTGTGAATACTTATGTACATGTGGTTTTTTTTTTTTCATTTTTTTTCATTTTTAATAAATTGCAAAGATTTCAAAACGAATTTCTTTCAAGTTGTCAATATGGGGTATTGTTTGTAGAATGTTGAGGAAAAAAATGAATTCAATCCATTTTGGAATAAGGCTGTAATACGTTCTGGATGCACTGTACCTGCAGCAGCTAGAAATGGCACAGGATACCAGAATGTAAGTAGAGCACCTTTTCTTTAACAGGGCAGGTATTTTTGTGTGTGACCCTGTGGTGATGAGGTCACTTTCAGCATGCTCTTTGCTGCCTTGCAGAAAGGACAATTAGCTAATATCTATCATGGGTGGCTTTGTGGACCAGTAGTGCTACATAGGAGGTGGGCCTGAACTGAAGACCAGGTGAGTTAGTTAAACTATGCATTACAGGGTATTTCAGGTTTCTTAATTAGCTTTACTAGGTATGTAAACATTTATGCGGTCACCTCTGAATGCCTTCTTTCATTAGCTGCTACTGGTTTAATACTTTGTTAGTGACCCTAGAGTCCTTTTGTCTGGGATAAGCACTTTGTACTTGTTGAACTGCTTAAACAACAGTATATGCATGCAGGAGAAATGTTTTTGCAGTCACATTTTTTTCATCTTTACACTTCTATCCACTACATCTGTTTTTTAAAAAAGTGTATGAATGGTTGCTATGAACTGCTTCCTTTTTAAAAGGGGGGGGGGGTAGTCATTTGCTACCTGATCTTTTATCTCACAGCCACCTGTTCCTTAAAATAACTTTATCACTTTAAAATGAATTAAAGTGGTTCTAAAGGCTTAAGGTTTTTTATCTTCATGTATTCTATGTATGAAGGTAAAAAGCCTTCTGTGTGCAGCAGTCCCCCTAATACTCACCTAAGCCCCCTCTCGATCCAACACTGTGCACTGGAGTCTCAGCTATCACAGGACTCCCTTTTCACATTGGCTGAGACAGCAGCGGGAGCCATTGACTCCCGCTGCTGTCAATCGCAGCCAGTGAGCCAATGAGAAGAGAACGCCGGGCCGCGGCTCCGTGTGTGTGAATGGACACATTGAGCAGCGGGTGCCCCATAACAAGCTGCTTGCTGTGGGGGCACCCAACAGGAGAGAGGGGCCAGGAGCGTTGGCGGGGGACCTGAGAAGAGGAGGATCCGGGCTGCTCTGTGCAAAACCACTGTACACAGTGGGTAAGTACAGACAGGTTTTTTTTTAATAATTAAGTCTTTAGAATCACTTTAAGCTGTTATCAGGTATACAGTGCAAGCACCTATTGGACTAATAGCGTCAAAGCTTGCTATCTTTCTTCCAACCCTCATGATTACTGCTTGCCTATCACTAATTGCACGGTAGTGGAAAAAGACAGATTATTTACTTGATTTGATCCTCCTTTCTGCAGGTGAAGCCAGAGTTAGCAATCATTACTGTCTATCAAAAAGAAAAAAATACCGGGGTGCCCAGCTTTGTATCTTATGAAGTTGGTATATCAGATGTGCAGGTTTTAAACCAGGGCTCTCTATCTACCTCCCTAACCATTTCCAGTGACATGTCTGACCAAACCATCAAAATCCCGATTAGACTGATGTCAACTACAGGCCCATTTAATGGTATGTGAGCACTTTTCTCTTGTTGTTCCTTAAATTCCTTACAGTGTTATGTGATATTTCTGCAGTTTGAGTTCATCTGCAATTTTAAGAATTGAAGCAGTGTAACACTCTTTACCACTTGTGGTGGTCTAGAGTGTTGTATTCTGGGTCTCTCTCCATTTTGCAGACAGCAAAGCAAGCATCATAATATTTGTAGTTTTAATTGTCCGTTCTGAAAAAAATAACATTGTTGCCATTAAATATAAGATGTGGAGGACTAGATGTGATAGAGTATTTCCAATTTCCAGGTATGGATATTTTGTTTTTCAGAATATAGATTTTAGTTTTGCGGCACTACAGCAAAATGTATAGATACATCAGCAGCAGCAGCCATTATACAGTATAAAGCAAAACCTTCATAAACAGTTTCAATATAAAAAATGTATCCGCCAAAAAAAAATTGACAAGAATAAAATGCCAAGCTATTCGGAGGAGGTATGGATATTTTTTACATCGTTACATTGGCCCATCAGCAATCAAGGTAAATGTGTATATACCATACCTGGCCGATGCTCTTTGAAGCTGGAAATCACTGGAGTAAACCCTGCTAGTCCAGTGATCTCCAGTTGCTTTCGGGTCCTGTGCCAAGCTGCTGGTCTGCTGCTTTCTAAATACAGGACATCGGCTGTTCGGCACAAGCACCTTTCAGAGAGTGCTTTGCAGTTCTTCAATGAATGCAAAGTGTTCTCTGGTTGGACGAGTTGCAGTGGTGGGTGGTAACATTGCGCTGTCTACCTCGTTCAATCAGAAAATGCTTTTTGATTCAGAAAATGCAAAGCATTTCAAAGCTCTCTGAATCGTGCCCGTGTCAAGCAGCTTCCCTCTTGTGTTCAGAATGCAACAGGCCAGCCACTCTGCGCAGGATCCGAAAGCAAGTGGAGATCACTGAAGTAGCGGTGTCTGCTTCAGGGATATCCAGCTTCCAAGGGCATCAGTGTATATATCCTTACCTTGGTCCAAGCTGGACCTAGATAAAATGCATAAAATATCCATACTGGGAATTCCTCTTTAATGGGTAGCCAAGTGTAGCTGGTAGAAGTTATACTAACAGTAGTTTTAGAGAGTGAAGTATAAATATGGAGTTTTACTCACAGAACATGCAGTTATATGTACATTGTTTACATCTTACCCTGCTAATCACATGTCAGTGAATATTGTTTATGCCTTTGATGGTCTTTGTTCCCTGCAGTGCCTTATACCATGGGCCAAGGCTTCTTCTATCACTTCCTGAACTCTTACCAGATGATTTTCTTCACTCTGTTCACGTTGTTAGCAGGGGCTGCTATTGCCATACTAGGTAAATTTATATTAATTATTCTTACTAAATGTAATTGCCTGTGTAATATTTAATTATTGCAAATATCCTGTTTTGCTCTTTCAGTGTTTTCACCAAAAGAGAGGATTGATCACCCAGCCTTTAGGTCTGCATCACCACCTCGGTCATTAGGCAATAGTAAGTAATAAAAGTGGTTAATTCATGTGGCTTTTATTTGAAAATTAAGATACATAAAGGCCCAATTCATAAAACTGGGTTTTTTTTTCTTAAACAAACCAAAAAAACACTGAAAATTTTGAAAAAAAAAAAAGTTTTTTTCTTAGTTTTTGTTATAAAATTTTGTAAATAAGTGACTTTTCTCCACTGATGTGCGCTAATGAAGCTGCAGTGATGAACACTGATAGGTGGCACTGATGGCCACGTAGGTAGCACTGATGTGCATTGACAGGCATCACTGATTGGCACTCAAAGGCAGCACTGATATATGGCACTGATAGGCGGCACTAACTGGCACTGAAGGTGGCACTGATTGGCAGCACTGATAGGTGGCACTCATTGGCATTGATAGGTGGCACTGACTGGCACTGATGGGTGACACTGAAAGGCAGCTCAGATGGGCACTGATATGTGGCACTGATGGGCTCTGGCACGTGGCAATGATGAGCACTGACAGCTGGCACTGATGGACACTGACAGGTGGCACTGCTGGGGCTACACTGATCATCAGGGCACACTGATCATCAGTGTACATGTCCCCTCGATTACCGGCTCTCCTCTCCTCTCGAGCTGTCAGTGTGACAGCTCGAGAGGAGAGAAATGCCGATAACTGGCATTTCCCTGTTTACATGTGATCAGCTGTGATTGGACACAGCTGATCGCATGACTGAGCCGACATCTTCGGCTCTTTCCGTGGATCGGTGATCCACTGTGTCCGAGGGACACAGCGCACCGCAGATTGCCGCACGCTCAGGGAGCCGCGCATGCGCGTTTAGAATGGGAGGACGTCATATGACGTCCTCCCAGAACGAGAGAACCACCTTGCGTCCGTCATATTACTATATGGGCAGCACAGTGGCTAAATGGTTAGCACTTATGCCTGGCAGTACTAGGGTCGCTGGTTCAAATCCCAGCCACGGCACCTCCTACCTGGGGTTTGCATGTTCTCCCTGTGCCTGCGTGGGTTTCCTCAGGGTACTCCGGTTTCCTTCCACACTCCAAAGACATGCTGGTAGGTTAATTGGATCCTGTCTAAATTGGCCCTAGTATATGTATGTATGAATGTGAGTTGGGGACCTTAGATTGTACACCCCTTGAGGGTTAAGGACTGATGTGAATGTACAATATATTTGTAAAGCACTGCGTAAATGGACGGCGCTATATAAGTACCTGAAATAATAAATAATATGGCGGGGCGGGGAGGTGGTTAAACCATATTTTGGAAGCACTGTTCATAAGGTAAAAATAAAGTGTTGCACTTTAACACAGATTTCTCTTCCAAGAGAACCTCCATGCAAAATGTGCATGTGATCTGCTTATTTCTGAAATTACCTCTAAATGATAAGAGCTTCAAACAGGCACGATAACATCCATTTACAGCAGTTCTCAGGGTCTCCACCCAAAATGGATAATTTGCTTATTGGTTCATCTCCAATAACCTCCATGAATAGGTAAAGCAAATGCAGCATGAGTACCTCAAAACAATGAATGGAAAGCTAATGTTCTCCTTATAACTGATCCTAGTTTTTAAAGCATAACCGTTCCAGGGGTTTTACACCAACCTGTTCACTGTTTCCAAACTGAAAGGGAGCATTTGCCACAACTTGGATATCAGAGCTGGGTAAAAAAAACTGATAGAATCCAACAGATCTGTCATCCCTCTCCACCAGAAAGGCTTCTTGGCTTCTGTGGACATCAAAGATGCTTACTTGCATGTGCCCACCTTTCCAGTTCATCAGCAATTTCTAAGCCATGCAGCTGGACCCCTTCATTAGCACTTTGTGACCCTGCCCTTCAGCCTTTCCTTTTTCCCAATGGGTATTTATCAAGGTACTAGCTTCATTGCTGAACCTGGTAAAACCTCTTGGTATACCCATTGTGTTATATTTAGTAGACCTGTTGCGGTAACTGTCAAGAAGGGCTCTGTCAGACATAATATCTTTTAAATATCTAGATGTTACAGAGGGGAGGTTTGGGTGTATCCTGAACCTTCATGTCGCCAACTCATTGCTTGCTGTATCTAGATCTAGTCCTGGACACATCTCAGGCCCCTGGAGAATGCAGATTGAAAGTCTTCATTTCAGAAGCCATCCAATTTTCTGGTTCTACATGAGTCTTGAGGTTGATAGTAGCCTCCTTTTTATCTCTGCCATCTGAAGTCAGAAGCCTTTTTTCTTCCAGTTTTTTGGAAGATTCTCATGAAGGACACCAGCCAGTTGAAGTCCTGGACACCTTGTTGGTGCAGGAGATTTGGTTATGAGAGGAATCTCTTCTTTAGTAAAACATGCTAGACCTGTAGACACTTTGGTTTGGTTGTCCCTTCAGCGGTGGGCTACTCTTGGAAAGTCATCTGAAACAGATTGTTGGACAATGCAATCACAGTGGCATATATTAACTATGAAAGAGAAGCCAGAAATAGCATGGTGGTTCTAATGGGTGATCAGTACACTCTGATCTATGCCTTTACTTCCCTGAAACTTCTTTCTAATCTGCTCCACTTATGGAGGGGATTTCAGTAATCCTCACTGCTCCAAACTTGCCTATGTAAGTATGGTACTCCAGCCACATAAGACTTCTGGCAGACGATCAGTGGGCAGTGCCAAGCAGTCCAACTGTTCAGTCCCAAAAGTTGATTTGCCAACCTTCCTCTTGGTCGATGGCTTGAACAGCATGATTTGTTGAAGCCCAGATTCTAGGAACAGGGGCATTTCGGAGTCTGTGATTCCTATGATGCTTAGGACAGTTTTCTTCCAGCATGGTCCATCGTTGGACATGGAAGGCATACTTAATTTGGTGTGAGTCCCAGGGCTACTTGGAAACTGCTCCTGAAACCACTTCATTCCTTATTACGTCTTTGGACCAGCATTTTGCTGCAGGCATTATGAGAAGTCAGGTGTCTGCCCTGTCCTTTCTGTTGCTGAGACCATTGGCCTCTCACTCTTTGATTAAGCACCTTGGACAGGAGGTCTCCCATATAGCTCCCTCATCTGTTTCTCAGTGACTGTGGGATCTAATTTTGGTTCTCTCCGTGCTTTATAGAAAGCTGTTTGAACCAATTAGACCTTCTTCACTCTTTCAACTACAAGGGGTTTTTTACTGGTATTGGATCACCTCTGGGAGGCAAGTATCTGAACTGGCAGCCTTATGTTGCAAAGAACCATTGTTCATTTTGGCATTGGGACAAGGTGCTGTTGAGGCCCAGGACTTCTTTCTTTTTTAAAGCAGTGTCTTCCTTTCACCTCAACCAAGACACTGCTCTCCTGTCCCTTTGCCACAGGTTCCTCAAATGTAAATTTCCCTTCATTGTCTGGATGTGGTTCTGTGTTAATCTATCTTGAAGCCACTGCTTCTTTTGGAAAGACCGATTCACTTTTTTCTTATTCCAAATGGACCCAGAGGGGTAACCTGGCTTCTCATTTCACCATTTCTAGGTGGCTCAGACAGGCCATCATTCAAGGAATTGGTTCCATGTTTTCCTGTCAGGGCTTTTCAGCATCAAGCAACTTTTTCTCAGATTTTTAAGACTGCCACATTTCTCCCAGGTGGATGCTTCAGCCTTATCTGATAAGTCTCACTGCAAGGCAAGACAAAAAGCCTTGTGTCCTGTGTGCCTGGTTTACACCACTGCATTGTGATGGTGTGCAGGAAGTATGTCCTGAAAAAAGTACTGCATCATTAGATATTTGGAAGGCCTTCAATACAGTCTCTTGTCCTTATCTGCAATATGTCTTGAACTGATGGGGTTTCCAGATTCATTTCCTTGGCTGGAACTCTTCCTTATACTCTAGCCCCCAGGCGTATTTGAAATATTCAGGTTTTAGATCAAGCGCACTTTGTGATCTCTAGGGGAACAAGGCAGAGCTGCCCTCTGTTATTCTTTGCTTTAGGCATCAAACCCCTAGCACAAAAGGTTTGCTCCAATGAAAACATTAGAGGCCATAGAGTCATCATTATAAACTGTCTTTGTTTGCTGATGGTCTTTTATTTGCTTCAGCCCGCTTATTGCAACCCCATACCTACTTCAAGTCTTGTACCTCTTTGCGCTGTTCTTGGGCTTTGAGATTAACCAATCTAAGTCAGCCTTTCTCTTATTCCTCAAGCCCTTTTTTTCTCTACAGTCATCTTTTTCTTTTGAAAGGATGCCCCACTACTTACCTTACCTAGACCTTAATCTGACTAAAACCTATGATTCTCTTTATCAAGCCACCTACCCACACATGCCGCGTAAACTAACCTATCTATTGACCTGATGGGCACCCTTGCTAACTTCTTGGCTAAGCAGAGAGACCGCAGTAAAGATGACTTTGTTACCAAAAATGTTATCTCTTCCTTGTACCCCTAGTTGCAGTCCTGTGCACTTTTTTCAGGCCCTCCACAGGTGCATACTACACTGTTTGGGGTTCTCTCAAGCCCAGGTTGCCAAAGACCACTGTTCCCACCAAGACTGAGCGGTGGTTGTGGTCTCCCTTATCTACCAACTTATTACCATGCATCCCAATTAGCCAAAGTTACAAAGTATCATGCCACCTGGGAAGTTCCACTCTGGGTAGGTTTCAAAGTGGCAAACTGCAATCCTTTTTCTGTAGATAACATATTATGACATAACCCGTTAGAACATAGCGGGCTAAAAAATCATGTCACTTTCCAGAAGTTACGAATATGGGACTGACTGAAACAGAAGTTTGGTCTCCTGTCCCTTTACCACCCATTGCTAGCTTTCTTTCACCAACCATGATTCTACCCAGCAATAGATCCCAAGATTCCTTCGCCTCCTGGTCCATGTTAAATCTTACTTGACTATACTGACTAGCTGGCCCTAACGGAATTTTACCTTTTACTACTTTCCAAGGGAGCCACAAGTCAGAGGTCTTTAGATATCTGCAAGTCAAACATATTTACCTATCTGTTCCATCTCAGACCTCTTTAAACAACCAATTGTGTGTTAAAGCCTTCCACTCTCTTGGCCCCCCAGGTTGTATTCCTATATGGTCACTTATGGTGAATCATATCCCCAGCCCCCTTCATATGTGGGAAGCTGACCTCAGTGTACATATAGAACCAGAGATGGTATTTGGTCCCTGGATGGATCAATAAGTTTTTTTTCTACTTGCTTGCCAGCCTGTTACTGAGGATTTAAGGCGACAGGCACCCATCTCCAAATTTGGTGAACCTACCCCCTAGTACGAACCTTTTGGGCTGAAGTACTTGGGATATCTACAGTGTCTGACAGGCTGTCAGCCCCTGATCCCACAGTTGCTCTCCTTAATTTAAATGCTTTTAAAATCGCTAAGCTGTAATTTAAGCTTCTTTTGCAAGTTACTACTGCTGCTAAACAAGCACTAGCAAAGAAATGGAAAACCCCCAAGTTATGCCTCACCAATACCTAGAAGAGGGTCACGCAGTTCATGATCCATTGTAAGATAGAAGCCACCCTACAAGACAGAGTTTCGGTGTTTACCAGTTATGGTGACCTTGGGTTCCTCATTTCTTACCTATTGGTTCTGATGAAAACAATATACCCTAAACAAAGATACATTTGGTGGAAGTTTTTTGGAGTTTGAATTATGACCCTGAAAACAAGTGAAAATTTCAAACTTTGCCTAGGCGTCTGTAACCCTAAAGCACACTTAGCCCTCCCCTTAATTGAACTCTTAAAAAAATATACTGCACTTTACTACAAAGTGCACTTAACCCCTCCTCTTAC